CGGGCTGATCGACAAGATCAAGTGGCGGGGGTAACGTCTTTCACGGACAGTCTCTCACAGATGATGACTCTACTACCAACCAATCGGGAAATTGCGCACGAAATACTGGTCAGCGGTAGCTTTGAGGTGCAACAGCAACCTTGGACAGACGCCCGTAAGGGCTTGACAGACTCCCTACGAAACAGAATGCGCGCAGATCTTCAGAATGGAGACAGAGAAGCCACGGCGAGGTGGACTCACTCCATGGCAGTCCTCATCCGTGAGAAGCTGATGCTGTTGATCAGCCCACGGCATCCACTTCATAGCAGGATGGACGGCTTTCTGGATCCAGTTTTGATCAGTCAACAGTGCCGAAATGGTATGTTCTCGTATGATTCGTTTTTCAGGACCGTTGCCGGCTTGATCGCACAGATCTGCTCTCCTGGCCGAGACGAAATCGTGAATGCTTTTAGCGGCAATACGACCAGCGACACAGTCGATCGTCTCTTTGAACTCATCAATATTATTGACTTGATGAGCTTGGATCACATCAACTTTCAATTCAGACTGGCCTCTCAGGCGGTGCTTGAACACGGCCACGAGCACGAAATTGCATCATTTGAACGGGATCTCGAGCAAGGTGTCCACACACTCGCAAAAGCCAAGGTCTGGTGGACAAATGCGAGGTCAAATGTGGGATCTCTATCCGCGAGCGCATCTGCGGTATATGCCAGAGGCCTGACTGACCTCGTCTTGCGCAACTCACATCTTAGCTACCGGGACGTTCCCGAGCCGCTACATCTTGACTACATACGCCTGCTCAGATTAAGGGCTCGAGTGTTCCAAATAGTGGCCATTTCCTCAATCCTACTTACCACCAAGATCCGGCTCAGGCGCAACCGGGAGTCTTTGTGGGCAAAAGATGCAGAACGTCTGATGGCATTGGACCTTTCGAAAGTCGATGCCAACAGGATCGTCTCCCTCATTGAATCATCCCACATGATGCCAGAATCAACCAAAGAAGGACTGCTCAACTTCGTTGGGCGAGTTCTACCCACTGCCGCAGCTGCGTCCAAAAACCTCGAGGCAGCAGAGCAAGCACGGCAGGTTGGGGTCAATGGCGGAACAATAGACGAGCCAACTGGGACCACAAGCGCAGATGTGTTCAGCGAACAAATTGCGAGTTTTCTTCTAAAGACACTGCGAGAACATGTCTTTGCTAGGCTCTCGGCTGCTAGCACGGCTGAGAGAGCCCGGAGTACGACGAGTGCAGGGGAAGTTCTGGCACGCGCTGGGATGCCCGAGTTCCTGGAGGAGGTCAACCGACTTGTGGATACCCTCGACAGGGTACGCTTAGTGGACTGGAAGTGCCATGAGAAATGGTACGGCCAGATCGCAAGCGAGACTGCTTGAGAGGGTTGCCTAGAAACCACACGGTGGGGAGTATTTCTGAGTCGATGGGCGCCGGATGCTGTATATCTTTTCAGAAACTGGTTTGTGTATATTACGCCTTTACGAGACCACGGTGCAGAGAGAAGAGGGAGGGAAAGAGGGAAAGAAGAGGCTATATTGCATTTCCATTCACGAGGACGAGGGGGTGGGGGAGGGGGGAGGGAGTTAAGGATCTAGGAACGGGTGATCATCTAGCAAGAAACAAACGAGTCTGTGATACATGTAGAACAATGAACCTTTGCTTTATGTTTTACTCTCTCCGTTCTCTGCGGACACGGGTTCCAGCTGGCCTGAAGAAGTCTCTCATTGTTTTTCCACACAACCGTTTCTTTCGCGGACTTTCCGATACACACAAACGACGAAAGAATCAAGCTTGGACAAGAAGTGAATGGGCCCGTGGGTGAATAACGTCAGTAGGAATATGCCTGGAATACAAGCTCGGGTGTTCCGCACGATCTATAACCCATGGCCCATGTGGGAGGTATATAATGTATGTATTAAGATTGATGGTTGTGGTTAACCGTTCCCCGACACCTCTGTTACGTGCCGACAACTCGTTTGAGCCTTGGTGAAGAAGAAGGAGGCGGAAGCGGTGGCGGCCGCGGCACAGGGTCTCCTAGAAGGTGTGGGATTGATTGTCAAGGAGAGAAATCCGTAGGATAGGTCATGCGTTGCTGTGTTGTTGCAGCAGCAGCGGGAGGAGAGCCAGGTAACTGAGAAGCTCCTTCGATCGGTGGTCCCGTGCTCTTCTTCTGCTTTTCTCCCGTTTTACCTCGATGCGAGAGACACTGTTCCCGCCTCATCGTCTCCATCCGTCCGTTGTATTGCTTGCCCTGACCTGCCCTTTGGTGGAGACAACGAGTTTACTTACTTGTCCGGACAAAAAGAACTCTCTGGTGCCTCTTGCTCTGAATTGTGAGTATGTCTCGCAGACGTCCAAATGCTCGGTTCCGGTCTCGGTCGCGCAGCCATTTCCTCCCCCAGATCCCATCTATCTATCTCTCTTCTCATTTCCGGTTTCCAGGATTTGTTTCCCTCAGTTCAGGAACTTGTTGAACCAGTCCGCGGCCTGCTTTGCGGCGTCGTGGTAGTTCTGCATGTCGACCTCGCGGGCCTTGACGCAGAAGCCGTGGGTAGCGCCCTTGTAGACGCGGAAATCGTAGTGGTAGCCGTCCTGGCCGTCGCCCTTGCTCCCGCCGATGGCCTCGCGGAGCTGGGCCTCGACCTTTGCGGCGACGTCGGCGTTGAACTGGAAGTCCTTCTCGGCGACCGCGGACGCGTAGGGGACCTTGAACGTCTTGACCGCGTCCACGACCATCTGCGGCTCCCCACTGATGTACGACGGGTGTCCGTTGAACTGCGCGTCGATGAGGCGCTCCTGGCCCCCCTGGACGGTGGTCTCGGTGCACAGCTTCGTGGCCGGCCACGCGCCCCAGCAGAAGCCGCAGACGCCGAGCTTCCCTCCCTCGGGGAGCTCGGCGCGCACGTCGCGCGCGAACTTGAGGATGGTCGGGTACGGGTTCTTCGGGTGGCCGCTGTACATGAAGGGGACGATGTAGGGGATGAGGGTGAGCGCGGTGAACACCTTTGGGAGGAAATTGAACACGCTCAACCGGCTGTCCATCAGGTGGTCCATCTTCTCCAGAACGAGCGTGGGCATGCCGCCCTGGTAGACCACGTCCGGGATGTAGACCCGGCAGCCCGTCGAGGCGGCGTACTTGTCCGCCAGGATCTTGTTGTTGACCAGTTTGAGCGAGAAGGCGTCCGGCAGGTAGACGATGGCCGACTTGGACCGCGCGGGGTCGCTGCCGCCGGCCACATACGCCTGGATTCCGTGGACTGTCTCGATCTTGCCCGTGGGCTCCGAGTGGTTGTGGACGGCGCCGCGAAAGCAGTCGGGACAGGACATGATTTGATTCTTGCTTCCTTTTGCCTCCTACACTGTCTCTATTTCAACAAAAGACCCGAGTGTGGAACAGGCGCACTCGGCGGATCTATATGTCTCTCTGTCGTCTCCGGCTCGCTTTAGTCGGATTGGTGCGAAGGGAGGTAGGTATGTATGAGAATGAGGAACGAATTGCTGGATGAAAGCGAAGAAGACCTGCATCATTTAAAAAGGGCTTGATCCGAGGGATTCCTCGTCCAATGGCTTTATACCCGTGAACGAGCGGCCGAGTCAAACAGCTACCAATATGTGTGGATGATTGGCCGCATGCAGGGACGACATCTGGGTTTCGCACATGCGGTGATAAGCTCCTTAGCTTCTTTCCCCCTCCCACCCACCTCCTCCATTGGATAGCGTGGTCCGAGTCTGTAGCCGAATGACTAGTTCCGACTAATTGCGTGGTAAGGGCAGGGCACAGGGCGACTGTGGATTCAAGTGAAGTTCGGCCGAGTCCGATTCGGAAGCAGACAAGGCCGTGTTTGCGAACGGTGTTGGGCCGGCAGGTAGGGAGGGGAGGACAGGTAGGCTTTCTGTCTCGCACACTTATTATGATATACCGTAGCTAGACACGGCAGACAATCAATTGTTCTGAGGCATCATTTACATGCGTCCTGGGGTACAGCATGGTAATGGTAGAATATGGGGAACGCATGCTGCGATACTCCGTTGCTATCCAGTGCCGGAACCCGGCTGGGCGGGTACAGCCCAGAAATGCTTCCCCCTTGGCCTCCGCTCGAGATGGTGAATAATCTAGACGCTGCTCCTCGGTGGCGTCATCAATCCATACGATCGTTACAGCGCTTCAAGCGAGGATGTCGGCTCCGGGTCCCTTACCTGTGCCACGACGACAATGTGTCATCTAACAACCAGCATTGATCCTGCGAAACTCCGTATCCTGATCCGCCCCCGGGTCTGGTGGTGGTTAATGAACTTTTGCGAGAACGCGGACCCGGAGTCTGATAATGTCCTTCCGGGTCCTAGTCTGTGGACCTGATGGTGGCTTGATAATACTTGGGTATTCATCCTGGATCTAGGGTAGCAACCTCTGACGCAGTCGCGGATTTCACAAGGCTCATCCTTCGCTTTGAGCGGTGTAATGATCGTAGGGATCTGCATCAAGCCTCGCGAGGGGGACTCGGTAGACAATCCTTGAGATATTGTCGTGAGACACCCAGGCGTGAAAGAGAGAAACAAAGATGTGAACAAATGAATCTGTTCCTCCTGGGACGGACCATGTCTCATACACTTAAACAGTACACCATGAGCCACTCACAAAGAGGGTCTGTTACACTTACGATGGGTTTGTCGCATACCGATCACGGTGTGCCCCCGCAAGTAAATTGTTGTGGCTCAACTACGGGACGGAGAATCTTTGATGCGCATCTCGACCCGCTCTGCCGCTTTACTCCCCTCCACATTCCGCCAAGCCGACATGACAAAGTACCAGCAAGAGTTTGGAATGGTTGACAAAGGCACCCTTTCGACGAGAGAAACCGTTGTCAGAGCGAGAGACGAAGAAGGTCATCTGAGAGGACACGGAGGAAGGATCCAGGGAAAAAAAGGAAGGAAAAACCAATTGTTACGACGATACCTTGATCAATCCGGCCGGTGACGTGATCTGACCATGGTAAAAGTCCTTCTCCTCCTCTTGCCCTCCTACTTATCATCACCGCATGGAAAAGAATGACACAGAAAAGACTGACTGGGGAGCCGAATGTGCTTGTGAGCAAAATAGGGTGAAAAAGAGCGAGAGCGGGCTCCAGAGGCAGGAGAAGAGCACCACCAGCAGCCTCACGCCGAGTACTCGCACTTCACCGACGTGGGGACCAAGTCCGCAGCGTACGCGCAGCTGCTGGCGGCGCTCGAGGCCCTGGTCGAGTCACAGCGCAACTGGGTGTGCAACCTGGCCAACGCGGCGTCGCTGCTCTGGCACATGTACCGCGCCCTGCCCGCGACCGTCTCCCCGCAGGCCCGCGCCGTCAACTGGACCGGCTTCTACGTCCTCGACCCGACAAGCAACCCGCCCACGCAGCTGATCCTGGGCCCCTTCATGGGCAAGGTCGCCTGCCAGACCATCGTCCTGGGCAAGGGCGTGTGCGGGACCGCCGCCTCGGCCGGGAAGAGTGTCGTCGTGCCCGACGTCGAGGCCTTTCCCGGCCACATTGCCTGCGATGGCGAGACCAAGAGCGAGATTGTGGTCCCGATCCACGCGGGTGCGAAGGTGAGTCTCTCTCCCTCTCCTCCTATGCTGTTTACCATCATCATCACCATCATAGTCACCATCACAATCACTTCTATCGTTACACGTTACAACTGGGCTTTTCCCCATTCACTTACCTCTCTCTCGCCCTCCCTGTCTTGCGACCTGCCGAGTTGAATAGCCGATTAATCGCCCGTCTACATAGGTCGTTGGCGTCATCGACATCGACTGTGCGGAGCTCAACGGCTTCGACGAGCAAGACCGGGAAGGCCTCGAGAAAGTAGCAGCTCTCTTGGGAGCGTCTTGCGACTGGTGAGCCCCTGGTAGCCCAGGGGAAAGATCCCTGTCCAAAAGAAAGGCAGACCAAGGTCAAAGAGAAATAGTACGTCCGAGGGAGGGCTCATTGGCTTCCTCCGCATCTCAACTCTGTTTGGTTTGTGGTTTTCTCTCCTTTTCCGTACCAAAGTTTCGTTTGTGGGTATCTTGACATCGAGCAACACTCCTATCTCTATCCTCCTTTCCATGGCATTCAGCGAACGGCAATATGCTCAATCCGAGTTTCCTTAAGACCCTGTCGCTCACATCAACAGAGGCACATCTCGAAGCAGATTCCCTCATTTTGCCACCTTGTAAATCATAGCTCCGTCAACAAGGCATTCGTAATTCATCCTGACCACCTCCGTATTCTCGTTGAGAAACACACTTTCCGTAACCAGCACCATGGCATCCCTATCCGTTTCACGACTGAATTTTCATGTTTGCACCATCCGTAAAATTGGCACCCGCTCTTGAGCTCTTGATGATCCTTGACACCTGCTCCTCAAGCTCGTCCCAGTCATCCGTAGAGACCTTGGTCATGTGCGTGTTGAAGTATTTCTGAATCTCCATCAGCTTCTGCCAGTCGTCTCGGCTGCTGACGAACGTCACAGCCACGCCCACGCGTCCAAATCGACCAGTTCGACCGATACGGTGAAGATATGTTTGAGGATCTGCGACGTATCGGCCGCCACCGACAAATCTGTCCGGCACATCGTAGTTGACAACCATCGACACGGACTGCACGTCAATCCCACGGGCGAGGACGTTGGTCGTGATGAGGACCTTGGCATGACCCATGCGGAATGAGTCTATGATGACGTCGCGCTGCGCTCCTTCAATTCCTCCAGTTAGAGATACCACTTTGTGGCCTTCAGCAGACATTCGTCGTTCAATGTTGTGTGCCGTTTCTCGCGTCTAGATCCTGCGTGAGCCGCCCGAAACAGTTATCTTGAAGGGAATGGCTTACCTTGACAAAGATAATGGACGAGCCGATCGTCATGAGACCGTAGAATTTAACTAAGACCTCATACTTGGCCTCGTCGCTGTCACAATCTAGGTAGATCTGCTTGATACCTTCGACTGTCAAATCCTTGTGTTGGAGAGTTAACTGATTTGCGCCTGGAGCAAAGGTTTCGGCATATAGGACGACATTTTCCGGGAATGTGGCAGAGAATAAAACGATTTGGATGTTTTTCGGGAGCATCCTATAAGCTGGTTAATGTGAAGGCAACCACTTCTGAGCAATGCCGCTACTCACGACTTGACCCGGATGCACTGGTCACCGAGACCTTGTTGATCCAGCATGTTGTCTGCTTCATCGAGCACCAAGACTTTGACGGACCTGACGTCCATGGATCGCTTGCGAATCATGTCCATGACCGTGCCGGGAGTTCCAACAATCACCGACGCTTCGATTTTCCGCGAGCGGCTTGCAGCATCTTGAGGAATGGCAGCAGCCACAATCAGACCATCCACGAAAGAGCCCATAACCTTCACAACGCCTTCGATCTGACGAGCGAGCTCTCTGCTGGGAGCCAAAACGAGTGCCTGTGGGGTCTTGCGCATTTGATCACTGCTAAGATCGAGACGATGTAGGATATTCAACACAAACGCGGCGGTCTTGCCAGTACCAGACTGAGATTGACCGATCAAATTCTGAGGAGGATTCATCAGGAGGAGAGGAAGAGTCTTCTCTTGGACTTTTGATGGTTTTCGAAAGTTCATGCTCACAACGCCTTTGAGGATGTTTTCGTTGCTGGTGAGGTCAGCAGAGTGATAGAGACATCTTGAAGAGGACAACTCACAGCCCAAGTTGCTCAAACGAAGTGGCCGAGTAGAGGGGGTTATTGGGGTCGGCCTGCATGTCTGCCAATTTGACCTCTACTTCGAAGTCGGGCTCCTCCAGCTGCGATCCGCCGAAAGGCTCTGTAGCTCCATCGACTTGTCCGTTGTTCTGCGGTACTGACTCCGGCTCTTTCTCTGCCACGTTTGCGACCGGTGGTGGATTCTCGGTTGCAGGAGAGGCAACTTCATCTGCCCATGAGGTAGACTCTGGCTTGGAGATGCGATCTTCCAAAGAGCCGCTTCCGGACGGTGTTTCGGACATGATGAGGGGTTCAGAGAGACGAGCGCTTTCTGCCGATGTGAGGTCTTCGATATAGCGACGATCGCCTGGGGGTGGAAAAGGCCGACTCGATCGAGAGCAGGTAGGCAAAGTCAGGCGGAAGTGAACGAAGAAGTCGCTGGCTAAAGAATACAAAAGAAAATCGTGCTGCCTTTGATTCACTTCTGTAAATCTCGAGCAGTCTAGGTAGTAATAGTGAATAAAGGTCCGGCAGATGAACAGGGTGCTGTGAATCTACGAAATATTCAGGCTGCTGTCGATGGAATGGAAAATTGGTGACCAGGGAACGAAATCCCACTAAAACTGTGGCGTAATTGGACAGGCATGACAGGGCACTTGTGGCGCGTGTGGGTGGCAGGTGCGGGGTTCAGAGCTGGGCGTTTTAGCGCCTAACCAGCCCGTACGAGCACGACGAGGTACCTGAAGCCAAAACCCTTGGGGGCCAGTCTTTGCCCGCTCGATGTCACCCACAGACTACCGTGCCTTGGACCGTTGATGATTGATCGACTGCCCCTCGCCAATCGCCGGGCGTGAGCTGCCCGTCAGATGAGTACACATACATTCCCTGCTGCGCCGCAGTCTGCACTAAGATCGAGAGAAATCGGAGAACTACGAAACCTCTTCATCTACGCTTGATTGACGATATGGAATGATGCTGTTGCGGTCTGGATTGCCCGACATTTGCGATCACAATGGCCCAGGTTGCGACAGTCAACTTTGGCACTGAGCTCAAGGTTCGGCTACTGCGCCCTCAGGCCTGAATTGTACACTAATGGGGATTTAATTAGGACGGCTACAAACCGGTCGACAATTGGGTGAGCTTGGGCATTACATGGCTCACGGAAATCCAAGAATTCTACCAGGAACGCTCTGCTATAGAAAAGGAATACAGCCAGAAGTTGACCGCTCTGGCGAAGAAATACTATGATAAGAAATCAAGAAAGTCCAGCAACTTGAGCGTCGGCGACAATCCTGCTCTGACCCCAGGCTCCTTAGAGTCTGCCTCCCTCACGACATGGACCACCCACCTGTCTACTCTCGAGGCGCGAGCGAACGAACACGCGAAGTTCTCTAGAGACCTCATAAGTCAAGTTGCGACACCGCTGGAGTATGCCGGCACGAAACTCGAGGAACTGAGAAAGAGCCATGCCGAATATAATGCCAAACTTGTCAAAGAGAGGGACTCATCCTATGGTGACCTGAAAAAGTTGAAACAACGATATGATGCTGTGTGTCAAGAGGTTGAGAACCGAAGGAAAAAGGCCGAATCCTCCATGGACAAAAGCAAGGCTCAAAGCACGTACAACCAGCAGTTGATGGAAATGAACAATGTCAAGAACACATATCTGATTGGTATCAACGTCGCGAATAAGATGAAGGAATGCTATTATCACGAATACGTCCCGGAATTGCTCGATTCCTTGCAGGATCTGAACGAGACTCGTGTGTCGAAACTGAATTCGATATGGCTGGTCGCCGCATCACTCGAGACCAACACTCTCAAGAGAAGCACCGAGCTGATGACTCGTCTCTCGAACGAGATCCCCCGAAACAACCCCAGTCTCGACAGCAACATGTTTGTGCGACACAATGCTGTGCAGTGGCAGGAACCTCCGGACTTGGTCTTTGAACCGTCGCCAGTGTGGCTGGATTCGGACAACATGATGACCGATGATGCGTCCAAAGTTTTCCTTCGCAACATCTTGCAGAAGAGCAAGCCGCTCATCAACCAGCTCAAGGCGGAATCGGCTCAGAAAAGGCGAGACCTAGAAAACCTGAAGCAGGCTCGGCGGGCAGGCAAAGACAAGCGCGACGAAGTAGAAGCGGTGCGATCACAGTTTGCCCTGCAGGAGGATCTCCATGCCGTTGAGCGTAAGCGATTGACGGCAGAAGTGGAGACGTCGACGATTACTTCAGTGGTGGGTGATCTCAGCATGTATGGCAAGAGTCACACCTTCAAATCCGAGACGTTCAAAATACCCACTAATTGTGATCTATGTGGCGATCGCATTTGGGGTCTGAGTGCCAAAGGGTTCATATGTACTGATTGCGGGTTTACCTGCCACAGCAAATGTCATATGAAAGTGCCTGCAGACTGTCCAGGCGAACAGACAAAGGAAGAGAAGAAAAAGTTGAAAACAGAACGGCAAGCGGCGGCCCTGATGGCCGTCGAGGCCCCGCCAGCCGCCTCGAACGGGACCACAGGCCCTCCTCCATTAACGAGGCAAGATACGATGAATAGTCTGTCGTCTGGCTACGCGGCTAGCGCGACAAGGTCCTTGTCTGGAGGTGTTCCGAGGTTGTCAGCACTGGATGATTCAGCGACCAGCTCTCCGTTAACAACCATTACTTCCAACTCCGGATCATCGACCACCACCGCATCGAGACGAAACAGGATTGTTGCGCCGCCCCCTGCAGCCTACGTCAGCGCACCTGGCGCCGACCTGGCGGCCAACGGAAGCGGCCAACCCAGAGGCAAGATGCTTTACCCGTACGAAGCCAGAGACGAGGGAGAGGTATCCCTGCCAGAGGGCGCGGAGGTGAAGATCCTGGAACCTGACGGTATGTAAACTCCCCACACTTGTCCTCGTTTATACTGAGCAACAGCAGATGGCGGCTGGACCAAAGTCCATGCTGGCTTGGGAAAAGAAGGTCTAGTGCCCACGGCATACCTGGAAGAATTGCCCACCCCGGCCAGTACGCCCGCGCAAGAGCGCCCACCGTCATTGTATTCAAATTCGAGTGCCTCCCTGGCATCGTCGACCCTAGCTGGTGCGAATAAGAAGAAGCAAGGGCCAGCAGTGGCACCGAGACGAGGGGCGAAGAAGGTCAAATATGTGGAAGCTCTTTACCCCTACACGGCCCAGAGTGATGCCGAGTTCGACATGGCCGAAGGAGAAAGATTCATACTGATCAGTATGGGCACCGGAGATGGCTGGGCGGATGTCGAGAAGAACGGTGAGACAAGAAGCGTTCCTGCCAACTATATCCAGGAGGTCTAGGAGATCGCAGAGGAGCGCCAAACTTTGGAATTGAAAGGCGTGTTTACATCTGGTTAGGACGCATAGAAGAATAAGCGAAGCATCTGAGCGTCAAATAGAGGCACCGGCGGCAGAGTCTTGACCAGGAGTCATCCTCCGCCCGAGGCAGGACCCAGGCATCATGAGATGGAGGCCCAAGACTGATACAGCCTCGTCAGAGCCAGTCCGAGTTATGTTGGAGTGATTTGACAGCGGGTTTGGTTGAAAAAGTGTCGTTCGCAGTATATACCCAGCGTCTTCCTTGCCTCCCCCTCCCCTTCCCCCCCTTCTTCCCCGGTTCCTTGACCCTAAGTCCATCCAGTCACCCCCGATCTGTCTGTGAATTAATGTCTTGGGTCTCGATGCATCCAGCCCGCCTCGGCCCCATTCAGCCTCGCGATGTATGAGTTGTGATTGGTTAATTAGAGTCTTGGCGAAACCTTCGCTCAGCTCTACGGCAACGTCTCCCTTTGCATCTGCATCAGACTGGATTGCCATCTCGTATTCAAAGAGCTCGCGCCAGCGACAGCGCCAGCACAAGGCGCTTTGGCTTTGGCCATATCCCAATATGAAATGGTCCAAGTCTGCCCTTTTAGCATCAAGCTCTCCCCCATTGAGCTTGCGCATTGCTTGAGTCTTCGCTGTCGGCAGCCAGTGGCTTGCGAAGCGAACGCCCAACATGGTGGGTGGTTGACTGGTCTTTTGCTAGCATGCCCTCTTCCCCGGGCTCGAATGCTCCTTCTCTTTCGGGTCCTTCGATCGAACCGTGGCTTTCTGCGCGGGGAGTCGTCCGTTCGTCCATCCATAAGTACCTCGTTTTATCTCCCCAGCCTCACCCCATTCAAGGACGTTGGACTGTCAGTCTCTGCTTTGGCATTCTACACGTACAGAGTACGTTTAGACTCAATAGCTATGGCGGGGATTACTGCTTCAGTGACAGCCGCGGAGCGGGCAACGGCGAAGGCTATCCCCGTCAGTCCCATCACTTCAGCTCCCATTCTCACTCATCAGCGCGGCTTAATCAAAAGGACTGGTGCCGACACAGTCGAGGACAACACTTGTGGATGGGTCAATGGTGATCTCAGTAGGTGTTGATGCGATTCGTTCCTTCGTCGCATCCTATCGCGCTACATCAGCCTTATTCCATGGCTATATGCCACAAACTCTTACAGCACGACACTGACGAATCTGGTCGCACTCGCCTGTCTAGATACGCCTCTCGTCTGCAACTACCAAGCCTGCCTTTGGTCTCCGGAACTGCATGCGGTCGGCTGTTGTGCGGACGCTGCAACGACGGATTGCGCCTGGGTAACCTCCTGTGTGCCATATTCCATGCTGAATAACGGCTGCGACATGGCCTGCCAAGGGAACTATCTCAATACTGTTTGGTTCGTCCCATGATCCCAATCCCTTCGTGCTTCGGCAGGTACCTTGAGCCATTCTGTGAATTCTCCACAGCGATCAGGGGTTGACTGGACTTGCGGACGTAGTGATGAAGCCTATCCTCTTTGCGCGACGGCGACGTTTGGCGGTCCAGCGGGATACACCTACCTCAGTTGCACAGATGCAATCGGCACAACGGACACGGTTAGAGAACTTTTTCTGTCAAGCCCCATTTCGTTTTAATGGAAACATCAAGAGTCATGACGTCGATATCTCCCACATGCTGACACCACGTTTGCAGATGATGCTCACATACTATGGCGGCAATGCAACGGTCGAGAACTTACCCAGGTATTTCTCGAGCTATTGGTACGAGAGTACCGCCACCTCTTCCACGACGTCGACTTCTACCTCATCTCCCACCGACGACGCAGGCATCAACGACACGATATCTTGGCTCTCCGGCCACAAGACCATCCTCATCGGAGCCATTGCCGGCTTCTGCGGGTTACTCATCCTCCTCGTGGTGGGGGGTTGCTGCGTGGTACGGAACAAAAGGTCCAGACGAGGACGGTATATTCCGGCTAGTCAGCAGATGCCACCGCACGAGGCTTACGGGATGCACTATCAAGGCGCGGCGGCATATCAGCGGCCTCCATCGTACCAGTCTGGGTATGGATACCAACAAGATTTCGGTCAGGTGTACGTGGCTCCGAATAAATGAGGGAGACGCGCCGAGAACTACTATCTTGGTTTGTTCCAACTTGCTCAGGCTGTTTGGTTTTGGACTTTCAAGATGATGCGTTTTGTATATACGTCTCTCGCGGCATCACTCGGGATAGGGAACGCTGGTTATATGTCACAGAGTGAGTTGTTTTGACATGGCATAGGAGGCTGCTTGAACCGGTCTGCCTCCATTTGATCATTCAAGGACGTCCTGCACTTGTACTGTTCCTCGTAGCAAGGACAACCAATGTAGCTATCTAGGTACCATGCTAGGTTGGATCTAACTATACTCTACCATCCCCTGCTCTCCTCTTCGATATACCTGGGTCACTACCTATTCATCCGCGCACTGGATCATTCATCAAACTCGTCAACCCTTGAATTGGAAATTCGTTCTTTCATTCATCCCCATACCCACACTCTATGTATGCTGGCGCATCGTTTGCAAAGCATTCCTGTTTCCTAACCCGACAAACTTCACCTGTAACAAGATAACGATATATTCCGTGTTCTTTGTTTAGTTTCTCGCTTGCCTCGATCGCACTCTGATCACTCCGATTGCAACTCGAGGGGTGTCTTCTCTATTCGCTCTGCGAAGTCACAACTCACCTCCGCTGATCCCTCTCTCATCTGCGGACGCCAAGGAGGATTTCGAACTTCGTCCTTCGTCCCGGCTGTAAAACTAGAAGAGTTCCACGAGGACCCTCACGCCCTTTGCGTCCCTGCTCGGCAAGGGGATGAACCTGTCCTCGCGCATGTCGACGTCCCTGTCAAAAGTCGTGTCATAGAGGTGGAGGCGGCCGACGTCGCCGTCAAACGTCACCCCGTCGCCGCCGTAGACGCGGAACAGCTTGGCCAGCACGAGGTACAGCTCCGCGTACGCGAGGTTGATGCCCAGACACTGCATCGAGCCTTTGGAGAAGCTGACCAGGAACCTGTCCAGACGCGGGTTCTCGATCCACCGCTCGGGGCGGAACTCGTACGGCGAGGGGAAAGTGTCGGCGTCGCGGTGGATCAGGTAGCTGCTCATCGAGCACGGGGTCCCGGGGGGGATGGTCCACGTGGTAGGTCCTGCGCTGTCGGCGTGCTTGTCGTCGTCGTCGTTGACGACAAAGACGAGGGTTTCGTCCCGCGCGATCCGTTCGAGGCGCGTGCAGATCCCGTAGCTCAGTCGCAGGCCCTCTTGTATGACACCCGTGAGGTACGGGAGGCGCTCGAGCTCGGGCAAGGGCGTGGACGTTGTGGGATCCGGGATCGCCTCGTACAGTTCCCGCTTCAGCTTCTGCAGCACGCCCGGGTTGGACAGCAGGTAGAAGACCGTGACCGGCAGGGTCCAGCCCGTGGTGACCGCCCCCGCGCTGACGACCGTGGCACCCTCGTCGGCGAGGCGGGCCGTGCGCTTCTCGACGGCCGGGAGGGAGCTGTCGAGGATCTCGTGGAAGATTGTCGGGTGCGAGGCCGTCTTATGGGACGTGTCGACGCCGTTGCGGATATTTTCAATCTGGTTCTTGATGTCCTGTCCCCCAAAGCCAGATCAAAAAGTGGGCTTTTTGTTAAATTGGGTCCACTGAAAAAGTGGCGGCTCAAAAAGGGCCGGGATTGACGGAGAGAGAGAGACGAGGGACGAGGCACATAGGTAAAGCGGACAAAAGGCTAGAAACTGTTCAACCACTTACCCGCTTGAATTGCAAGTAACGGCTCGCTGCAACAGTGTCAGTCCTATGCCAATGCTATCGACTTATCAGTGTGGTTGATGATGACCCCCTCGGTCTGAAGGAAGCCATCCCTTACATACCGTTCGGATCGAGTCTCCGAGCCATCCAATCTGGAATGTTTAACACCAGCCAAAAGAGCCAGTACATTTGTTTTGCAATCTGGCCCAGTGAGCTCGTCGAAGAGGCCGCCTTGAGCATCCACGGGTCAAAGTCCTCGGCTTCGAGGTGATGTTCGCTGCGGGCGAACGCGTATTCCGTGATGACGTCTGAGCAGCATCAGTCGCCGTGGACTCGGCGAAGCAGGACATGAAGACGAGAGGAGGGTCCAAGAGCCAGGACGGGGAATTATTACCGTACGCGTACGCGGCGAACGCGACCTCCAGGTTCAAAGGCTTCCTTTCGTCCCCTTTTCTCACGTTGCCGAATTCTCTGACCCTGGCCATCAGGAGATCCGCCTTCTCTTCGATGACGCTTTGCAGTTTCCGAACACCTGGAGGTAGGCCCACGTCAGGGGGTCTGTCTCGTCCACGCTGAAGACTTTTCCAGCTTTTCCATGGTTTCTGACAAAAAGCAACCAACTCACTTTGCATGCTAAAGTAGGGACTCAGGGCCGCTCGTCTCGCCTTGTGCAAGTCGTGGGGATTCGTGCTTGCCCCCGCGCCAGGCATGCCGAAGCCCTGGGTGTAGCGTTCCCACCGATCGCGGCGTCGTGTTGGCCCTGTGTAGATCTCCTCGTAGAATCGAGGCGGGTAGAAGTGCAACTCCTGCGGATTGATGCGGACCACAGGGCCATATTGCTTGTGAAGGTCACGGATGCGGAAAGTGTACTGTCCGCCCAGGATGACATCGTAGTAAAACTCGTACCTGAGATGGGATGTTAGGTCGACTCGCTCGGGGGCGATGCTCTCTGTGAAGTAGACGGGTTGGGCCTTTGACATGACATCCCGCTTACCAGTAAGTTGCCGCCGCGATTCTGGGGCCCGGAAAGTGAGCGATGGGGCTGAAATATAGGCGATAGACGACAAGCCCGACGTTGTAGCATATCCATAGAGCCAAGCAGGCGAGCGGCAGGAAGAGTGACGACTTCTTCGTTTCGAACCACAAAGCCTCAAAGACACCCATACTGAGATCTCGGGCGAAGGTTTGGAGGCGGCGGAGGCGGCGGCGGCGGCCAGAAAGAGCGGTCTGTAGAGCATCTCCATGTCAGATTAATATCTTGGGTCAAAGCAGGTATCTCGTAATAGTCGCTGAACTGGCCGTAATGGGGTACGATTGAAGTGACAACGTCCAAGGTGGAAAACGTCTTGGGACTTGCAGGGATCTTGACCCGCAGTTCCCCGTCTGTGCAACGTGTCTCCAGTAACAATTCGTCCGAGACCCGTCGAGACGGATGTGCAACTGTGATGCGAGAGACCAAACCTGGAGCCAATGATTGAGGTAAGGGACATGAAGAGCAGGAACCCGGTCGTGCATATGCATGGAGCGAATGTTAGGACGACATTTTAATCAACGGTTTTGGGTCCGTCCAGGGCCTGACATTTCAGAAGCGAGCGAATAGAGCAAAGAACTGAGAGGTAAAACATTGGTACTACTTCTTCAAGCATCGTCTTTCTGGCAGTGATAGAATATGTAGTAGAGCATCTTGGTCCAGCTCGGGAAGAGAGGACGCTTTTGCAGTAGTCGGGGTAACTCACGGGTTTGATTCGGTAGTGGAAGGTAACAATGTCAAGCCAACCCAAATTGCCATGTAGAAAGCGTTTGGTCATCGCGAGTACTCACCGTGGCGATGAATACGGTAGTCCATCACAGTGAGCGACTATCACCATCCATGCCTCATCTGAGAGACAGGGGTAGGATGCCACCATCAGGATACACCTCCGTCGATGCTGCCCAGGTCAATGACAAATGGAGCCTGCCCTGCAATGATTGTGTTTCTGCGGTCCCTGCTTCTGCAAACAGCATGTGAGTCCCCGCCTGCTTGTATTTCCAACAGCAGAGCGGGGAGCATGTAAACCCATTCTTTAGCTGTGACCGAAAGGTATTTTGACCTGCTCTTCCGCTCACCCCGCCATCGACGAACGTCGACCAACTTTTAAGGGACCAAGAAAGTTGATGCTTGACTGTCGATCCGCAGAAAGTGCTGGGACAGGTTTTGGGTTTGTCCCCGAGCCTACAGTCGCGACGATCGGCCATTATTCAGTTCGAGCAAGCTTGAGGATACACAGGTGGACTCGGAGACGCGCCAGGTCGACCCGAGAATGGGGTTCGCAGGTTTCCGTGGAGTTGGTCCTCGATCAAGAAAATATCGAGGATCAGTGGAGGGAGGCGGAAACCTTCACATCATTGTGAAGTGGGTTGCTCAGCGAGCATCTGGAAATGCTTGCGGAGTTGTACTGCTGCCGGTGGCCGGTGGCTGGGAGGCGATCGTCTGCACCCAAACCCTAGTCAGACAAGAGTTCGCGTTTGGTGAGAATACAACGCATTGGGGGAACCGACGCCTGGGGAATTCCTGGGAAGAGGGGTGCAAATTCTGTCCCATTCTGTTTGCAGGATGTTGAAGCAAACGGAACGAATGCATCGACAAAAGGTGGCAGCGCAGGGGATTAGTCCTACGGTCAGTCGTTGAGCCATGTGTACAAAACCTCGCTCGTGCTCAGATGCTGTACCGTATCCACCACCGCACAAGGACAGCCAGATCGTGGAATTCGTGAATATACACAGTCTTGTAAGATAGTAGGGCATTTGGCCTGAGGAAGGGAGCAGGTATCGCAAAATCCCCTCTCCGTGTCACCTTACCGTAAACGCTCATTGTTTCAATGTGTGGCGGGCGAGTCAAACTGCGCCAACGCGTTTTTCTCACTAGGCTCAGCCTGCTACCGAGTATCTGATATTGACCAGATCAACCATGACTTGTACACCAACAGAAGGACAGATAAGCTCTCTCGCCTGAATTTGATCTCTTCCAAACATCTCTGGGCCACTCTACCAAGATTCTCCAGTAGAACTTGACTGACGTATCGACTGAGCCTCCTCGTGCCTGTGGAACGCGGGCTTGATGGTGTTTTCGAAACTCTCTTCAGACGCCACAGGGAAGATTCTGCGGTGCCGTAACTGCTGAATCTTTCTGGGAATGTCGTCCGGGTTCTTCACACTGCTGGTTGTTCCGGGTCTGTAAACACGGCGGGCTAGGGTCTCTCGAACCACAACGGCTTCTTCCTCGCACAACTTCAATACAAGAGATACCACGAGGTTTGCCATCCACGTTGATTCTGACCACACTTCATCTCATGGTACGCAAATGACAGCATATCTATGAGCATTCCATCTGTCCAGTGCATGAGAACTGAAGGGGAGCACAGTCTGGGTGCTACAGTCGCGCTGTAACAGCACGTTCACTTGAATTTGGCCAGCCCATCAAAGCGTCGGAGAGAGTCGTCTGAATGTCCTTCGATTTCCTCCTTTCCCTGGTGAGATCAGCCCGCATCAAACGCACAGCTTTTCAAATCCTGGGAAGGAGACAGGAGACTGCTTTCAAGAGAGCCGCAGCACCGAACAAGGGACGCTTCTTCCAGCCTTTCTGGCCCTTTCCAGGTCACTTTGGGCTGCACTCTTTCAGCAGAGGCGGCTTGAGGCCAGTTGTCGCCGCTCATCAAAGCGCTGCGACTTTCGAGGACTTTCGATAGTACTGTCTTCTTTTACGACCGGGTCATCTAGAGTAATTAAGTAGTAAGGACGGGAGTACTGCGGACTTGAACGGTCGTCGAAAGTCCAGGTACCAAACAAATCATCTTCTTTGCAGAAGCGAGTCATACCACCTTCGCCTCCTCAGCCAATCGGTCGATGGATCGGCGGGACAGATAAGTGCGATGTTGTTTTGATACAGGCCACAAGCATTTCACCTGCCTACTCACATGGATAGTCCAGGACTCTTTTTCACAGTAATTGCACAAACGATGGATGGTGAATAGCACCCAGTGTGGCTACACTCCGTCGAGCAAAAGATGCCGGGCTCCCGACGACCCGGCCTGGGTGATGCCGTGCGAAGCCGGTGTTGTTGAAAAACGTTTAGGTTCCGTAGCCAGGATGCCAGGCCACTTCCTCGTCCTCCTTACGACGGCGGCGGCATTCATTTCCCCCCGGATCTTGAGTCCTACCACTCTAGCAGACTGCTAAAACCTCTAAAGTGACCCGCCTTGAACAGTGATCAGGTCGTTAATGGCCCGTGGTTGGTGAAAACAAGCTAGACACCCGCGAACTAGATGTGCTACCTGAAGCGACCGGACTCGGGGCTAGAAAGTTCACTGCATCACGAAAATGTCGCTGAATTACCGCAAATGGCATGTCAGTTCCCTTTCTCAGCCGTTGCCGCCAAAGCTGAGGAACCTTTGGGTTTAGACACAAAACTTAGCACCGGTCGCCTAAGGATGATAATCCGACTTAGCAGCCGTCAGCTGAGAAGAGATGCGGACCTCTCGCAATAATGTCTCTGGGGACTTGGCATATATATAGAGAGAAAGATATGGACAGGTCGCATCACACTCAGATGGCCTTGTTTTTCTGAACTTCCGTCCACCTTCACAAGGTCAGTCAGCCAGTCCAAGGTACACAAATTTACATGCTCAATAACTGTTTCCTTCCACCTACGAGTACTGTACTTGTACCGGAAGGCCAACGTGCATACATTCTATGCTGCGGGGAGGCGGAAATTGGCCGCTATTCCTCTGAGCACATGTGTATCTTGAATGCATTTATTCGAATGCCTGCTTCAGCATGCGTTCTGCCTCCGAAGGGGACGATGTGCCGGGTGCGAGTCGTAGGACATGCATCAGCTCTTGGGCTAAGTCGGATCTTGTCGGCTTGGAAGGACGGCACCTCTTTGCTTCGTGGCGATCCCCTTCCTCAGTTTTCTGTGCGCATATACCGAGAACTGTCATACTAGACCTAGCAACTTCCTGAAGCAGGCAGGCAAGCGCATCGTTTTTTCTTTCTCGCTCGAATCTGCCCACCTTCGCTTACGCAACACGCACACGAGTCTCCCTCGGCTCGAAAATCCAGGAGTACGCGTCATGAGGATAGCAGCTAGGCGGCTGGCAGCTGCACGAACAGCCACCAGGACTCAAGGACCGACCTCCGATTGTGGTGGTCCACCTGGGATGACTTGCCATTCGATTCCAGATGCAGGATGCATTTTGGCAGATGCAGCAACTGCCTTGAACGTCGGCGCAATTTTCAGTTTCGCCTAGAAGAAGGGTTTCCCCCGCTACTGGAGCCCCTAGTGCCTGTTTGGATGTACCCGTCAGGACCCTGTCCAGAAGTCCAAAAGCCTGGGACAGATCGCTCTCATTGTCCCGACGCTAGATGCACCGCGTGGAATGCGCGAACTCGCAAGGCGAAGTGATCAGCATCATTCAAAGCAGCTAAACCTCCAAGAAAAGCGGTTTGGGGTCCTCTGCATTGGATCGTATTGCAGGTGGATGGCGGAAGCCGGGGTCCTTCGAATGACCTTCTTCCCTGGGCGAGAGAAGCTCACACTTTAGCTGTTAGCACACCAAAAGACTGCCAGTTCGGGGTCGGACTTCTGTCTCAGGCAACGTTTGGGGCATCTCTCGGTCTCTCTTTGGGACTGGGATGGATGGTATGTCCCGAAGAGTTCCCGCAGAGAAAGCTATGGTTGGGCATGGGGGAAACAAAACAATAATCCTTGAGCGCCTGAAGACGCATCAGGAGGCATGGGGGCCAATACACCGAGTAGACAGCTGATGGCTTATTGGAATGCTGTGGACTGCCCGTCGAGCCGTTTGCTGGGTGGCGCAAGGATTGAGACGATAACTGACTGACTGACTTGACTCTCACTGTAGGTTGTGGAGATTTCATCAGCGTTTGCAAAGCGTCTAACTGCGAACATGTCAAACTTCGGATAGGCCAGCTAGATCATCCGGTAGCTTGCTGTTCTCGGGATGGGCGACTCCGTTTTTTTCCCGCTGGGCATGTCCCTTGCTGGACAGTCGTGACAGTTAAGGCACTCTTGTGGTCTGTGCGTGTGTTTCTTAGCCACTCATCGGTAGCTTGTATCAAGCGAGCTATGGCACCAGCCGTGATCCGTCGTCTCCTTACTTTCCATCGAGTCCACATTGTCGAGGACTGTCAACCACTTCTCTTGTTTCTGCACCCCCTTCTGTTCCACAAACACCTGTCTCCGGAGCAGGACGGCCTGCCAGCGTGAATGTGAATTCGCATGTGCGGGGTTGTCTCTGGGCACCTGCAGAGAGGATGAATTGGGCTGGCGGAGGGTGGTGCTTGGTGTGGACGAGGAGGTACGAGTAAAGCACCGTGTACGAGGGACAGGCCGAAGGAACGTACGGCAGACTGACCCCGTCCTAGTAGGGAGTACCTCGTAAGGTGTAAGGCTGGCGCAGCCTCAACTGCGCCTTGTCCAACCTCGTCCATCTCCTCGCTTTCTCTCTCCCTTTCATTTTGACTTCACTTCAGCCACCCGCCAGCCAAATCATTCTACACCTACTTCCCCGGTCTACTATAAGCCAGGGGCGGGCCTCCCCTTACTGGAACCCCTATATTACTATCCTTTCCCATTGGACCAGCCGGTCGTGCCTTTCTCTCCATTTTTTTTAGTCAGCTGTCAAAATGCACCATAACAAACCCCCCCTTGTCTCGACCCTCCTACTCGAAGTTCGAGAGGCCCGCAATTCGCATCTTATTTTGTCCACGCGTCGGAAGAAGCCTCTCGAAATCTCCTGCCTGCTCTTTGAAAGCCACGGCGGCGCATTGAAATGAAACATACATGCAAAACAATGGATGGCCACTGACCAATGCCAGCGGAAGAATCACCATGTTCGAGTTACCAAGTAATGTCCACAGCCTTCTTGACGCAGACCCCAGTTGAGCCTTACCAAACCTATGGTCCACTCCTTGTTGCTCTTGATGGGCCCATCTCTCAACCCAAGTTCTCCACGACCGACCTCTTGCTTTTATCAGCGGATCCATGACACTCTGTTCCCAGCGCTTTGGGGATGGAAAGCAAGATACTCATAAGATTATAAGCCAAACAAACAAGGCGAGGCCAACCCCACTATTTTTCCAGATTTTGGTGCCGATCCGCCTCGCGGAAGGAGGTGGACCGTGCGATCTGAGCAAAAATACCCCCTCCTCCATGGTGATGTCCCTTGAGTGATCAACAGGGTTGTCGACCCCTCGTCTTTGCATTTGGTGGCCGCCGTCGCGTGTCTCAGGGTCGGACTCCATAAGGCTATTGTTATATGCATCAAAAGGTGGGAAGCTTCATACCCTTTCCTAGGCACCTTGGATCTTTCTTGCTACATGCACAACCCTGCCCTCCATTGAACCTTACACCCCTCACTGTTCCAATCATGGCAGGCCTTGAACCTCCAGGTTTGAGTTGAATTGAGTGCGTGTCGGAAAATACAGAAACCCTTGGCCGGCTTGCGATCTCCCTTACTTAGAGGACCAAATGCCCGCCCCTCAATCTCTCCTTTTTCTCTTTCTCATTTTCAGAAAGATTTGTTCAAATCATCTCCATACGTGATCTCCAACCGAACCGTGGCGAGCCCCCTCCCCTATCATCCTCACCGCAAGAACCACCAGCAAGAAATGGCGGCAAGAGGAAAGAAGTTCACCGTCGGCGTGTTTGGCGACCCGGGATCGGGAAAAACTACATTGATCCATCAGGTAAGCGCGCAAACTGCCAGGTGGGGGATGCTGGTCGGAAGCGAGGTGATGATGAGACTGACGAGTTCTTTTGCTGCGACACTGTAGTATCTCTTTGGGCAATATCTCGAAGAGCACAAAAACATGGTGCACTACGGCAAATGGGTCAACATCGAGTCGGAGCTGATCGAACTTGACATTATCGAAACGGGCAAGGACCCCGTGGATTTTCCCGAGTTCGATGCCATGATCTTTGTCTTCAGCACTTCGTCGGTGACCACCTTTGACTCGGTGATGCGATATCAGAACAGCCGCCGGCGCTGATTGCCCTGGTCGGCACCATGACGGACTATTATGGACAGACAGTGGCATACGACGCCGGGCTCAACCTGGCCAAGTGCATGGGGGCCGGGTACTTCCACTTCTCCCCGCACCACGGCTGGGGTGTGCAAACGCCCTTTGAGTTCTTGCTGCGCCGCTTCGTTGTGCAGCAGCCCAAGCATCTCGAGATCGTACCGATGCCCTCGATCAACGTATACCAGTGGGTAAGAGCCAAGTGGTACGTTCATCGCATCAAGAAGCCGAGGAGCAAGGTCTGGTACGACGATTAGACTAGCCCTGTCATTGGACGGGCATATGATAAATGGGCACGAGTGGCAGCACGCTACCCGCCATGGAGCATGAGGAGTGACATCACTCGACAGAAAAAGACATGAACGAACTCCTGCACCAAAAACACAGCAAAAGCACCAGAGCGATTGAGCAATTATAACCATCATGGCTAGATATTCCTCATCCTTCTACCTCTTTCCCTTTCGGCTTGTTCTCTCTTCTTGGGGCCAGGGGCGATTGAAGCCTCTTGTACGAACGTTACGACATTGACGATATACTCTCACATTCGGACAACCTACTCACAAACGACACGGACACGGACATGGACGCACAATTGGACACGACGACCACAAATCAGCCACGATACCTCCAGCGAGGATGTCATCAGGCATGGTCATTTTTTTCCCGGGGGGTTGTTTCCTTGGTTTCTGGAAACACCATGATTCTTTTCTGGGGCACTTTTTACTTTTAGTCGTCACTTTCCTTCTCCTTCTTCTACTCCCTTTCTTATTCACTTTTTACTTGATGTTGGAAATGACGGGACGGCCTGGATGACAAACGAGGAACGAAAATCACAGACGGCGGTAGCTAGCTACGCCTTTGATATCACAGACAGAAACAGAAACAGAAACAGACATAGGAAAAGACATCTCCGCACGGGGAAATAAAAGTTGCGTACTGAGTACTATGGACACTTTCTTCGTGTAGTACTACTCTACTACCTACATACTTACTGTAGATACCTACAGTAGATCCCTAGTTACCTAGGTAGGTAGGTTAGCTGTTACAACCACGAACATGAACTCAACCCTCACCGTGAGACCACAAGACATGCAGGCCGCGTGTCTTGTCTTGTCTGCCTCGCCTCGTCTTGCCGTGTCTCGCTCGCGTCGATTTAATATCAATGCTCAATGCCCAATGCCCAATGCCCAATGCCCAATATCACTCGGTATACTTTACTTTTCTTTTCTTGGATACTTGGACACTTGGATATCTAGATTATCCAGCTAAGCTTACTTGAGCTATCCGTATCATCCCATCCCATCCCATCCCAATCCGTTGAAGAAAAGACGGCTTTTTGTACCCAGCGAGTTACGCACTTTGAATTTTTGTTCCCCCCTTCCTCTCTCCCCTCTCTCACTCTTCTTTTCGTTCGGCGGAATTGTGAATCTCGATAGATATACGATGTACGATTTACGATATACTCACTGAACGATACAGTCTATTCACCGGAGGTAGGTAGGTAGACAGGTATGGCTAAATCAGCGCCGACAGCGACCAATGACCCGTCCCATCGCATTTCAGGCGATGAATGGGCAGGTCTACCTCGTACAGAAATGTCTGTTCCTCTTGGCTCTTCCTCTCGTCCCCTGGTTTCATTCTCTTTCCCACTCCGTCCCCTTCCTCACGAGGACTTGCAAGACAACATGGTCAAGGGCATCTTGATACACAAGTCCGAAAAAAAAATAAAGATCAACAGATCGGGAGACTGACTACACCATCATCCTATCCTGTACACCATCCAACATACCCTTCCCTTACTCCATCGCCTCTCTTCGGATGGTGTACACCCCCATTCAAACATCTGTACATACAGGAATCCCGGGAACATCACCAGGATTGGGAGACCCCGCTGGCAGGACTATTTGTTCGCCGCTTGATCCACTGAATCATCTCTTCGATCAGAGCCGTTCCCACAATACCTTGCATCAACAAGCCCGTATGACCATAGGGAAAGATGCTCAGAGTCGTCGGACATCTGGCCGCTTCCAAGCGCGCCACAAAATCTATGCTTTCTTGACACAGGATATCTCCACCCATAGCCACAACCTTTGTCGGGAAGGCTCGGGTAGCTTCGATTATCCTCTGGTTGGCGTAGATTGGGCTCGCCCTCCAATTCTCCCTGGACCTGTCTCTAGGTCCCTGAAAGCACCGGTTCTGGAAGAATTGCATCGTTGCGGGAGTCAGCCACGGAGCGTCCCAGTTTCCCCGCCATCGTTCTTCACAGTCCCACGTGTTATCCAGGCTGGGAGCAATGAGGAGCAGTCCGGCGGGAGGGCGTCCCTGCGCTGACCATGTCAACGCTGTGGCCGCAGCGAGGTTTCCGCCCCTGGGATTGCAGATCAGCAGAGTCGGCATTCAGTTGGGATGCAGGGCATCTCACGATGATACACCAGCAATAATTATGTTTCGCCTACCCACTCGATTCCGGACCCAGTCTGCTATCACCAAGGCGTCATCATGTGGAATAGGAAACTCGCGACGGCGATAAGCACCGCTGAAAACCCGACATCCACAGTCCACAGAGGAATCAGCACCTGCTCATGCTTTGAACAAAGAACAGACTTACCGACCGCAATCTGACTGAGTACATTATTGTCTCCCGAAATGTCTCCCAGCATCCATCCACCGCCAGCGAACCACACGAGGACGGGCAGGTCACGTCGCTCGTTTCTCCGGGGTACAAATTGTCTCACGCGTAGACCGCAAGGGAGGTCGTGGTCGCTGGTATATGCGTCAACGTTAAAGACGATGTCCGTGCTACTCGTCTGGTATGGCGACATGGGTGTGAGGCGATTCCTCCACACACGAGGTGGGTACCACTGCACTACCTCTTCATGAAAGCGCCTGTAAGGGCCACACAGCTGTCGTGAGATATTCGGCATCAGAGGAGACAGTGGCACCGTTAAATACTTGGCCAGGGTCCACTCCAATTTAGCAGCAGAGGCGTTCGGGTTGGCCTGTACTTTCCCAGCGCAGCCAGAGAGCACGGTGACCCAGTGGGTGATGTGGTACTCAAGGTCCTGGATGGTGAATGGGATATTGAAGAGTCGACCGATGAACTGGGTCATTACCCCCACTGGCAAAGCCCGAGGGCGGTGGAAGTCTCTTGTGACGGTTCGCGAAACTGCACACAGGTAGATAATGGCCGCATTCATCAGCCAGTTGAAATGTATAGTCCATAACTTGCTGTCGCTATTCTCATACCCGGCATCCTCGAGAAGCTTGCCCAGATGATAGGCTTGCTGCCAAACTTCAACCCAGCGCAGGTTTCGGCCGGCAAAGTGCGCATTGATAAACATTTGGGTCTGGGTTATATTCCAAGGTGTGATGACTCCGAATGCTGGCCGGCATGACAAGTCAAAGGCATTGTCTTCTGCGAAAATCCAAGTCAATAGAACGGCGAGGATATAACGGCTAAGGTCTTCGCTTTGTGCGACGGTCTCCATGATGCCTGGGAGAGGTCAATTAAACGATCAGATAGATTCCCGTCTCTATGTAAAAGAGTTGGCGGGGAAATCATCGCGCACCTTAAAGGGTCAAGGGAACTGGTTTCCAACCACAGCTTAGATCGAGACCGCCTGGAAGGAAGGGGAGGCATGCGGTTAGATTTTGATATGGCTGCAGAGGCAGTATATGGATGGCAGCAGGCTGGCAGGCGTTTCGGGGCCACAGGCAGGTCGGCCGGCACTGACTGATAAACTGGATTGACAGGTTCGAGAGTTGCAGGGCAAGGTAACAGCACAAGTATACCACAACCAACGTGAGTGAAGCAGCGACTCTAGCCTTCGGTCCATGAACCATACTTCTTGTCGTTGGTGACCGATGACGGGGCTCCACCTGCTGTCTGATCTCGTTGTCGATACCCTGCACCGTCACTCTGTCTACCAGTATCCTTCGAGCCAGGCCTGGGATGCTGCGCTCGCCGAACAGTCTTGACATCGCCACTTGTCGAGCGTGGCCGTCATCAGCTCACCGTGCTGCATTGTTTAAACCCAAGGGCCTCTGTCAGACCCGTTTCTTGACAAGGATCTCCAACCCTGTCACTTTCCATTCATGGAATTTGAACCTGCTTTCCTTTTTTGCGGCCCCAAAGTGCCATCCCGCGCTTCTTAGCGCATGTGATATGGTGGAAAACTCTGATAGCCATCAACCGCACTGCATGCTGCTTGCTCTGGCTGGTGTAATGATGATGGGTGTGGGGTCTTGGAATCCGAGATGTAAAACAATCACAGTCTCAGTCACTCTGGTTTTAGCCTTGTTGGGAGTTGGACGTGGGAGGTCTCTACGCCTTACTTGGTGGGAAAATCCAGGGTCAGGATGATCTGGGGGTTCCATGTGGTTCATTCAGCTGGCCTGGGCCTTTTGTCATGGAAAGCAAACAAATTGAGGTTGGCAAATGAATGTTTGCGGATGCGATGCCGTCGAAAGTAGCGTGAAGGGGGTCGAGGTTACACAGGGATCAATCTACCGAGCCGCGTGTCTGGGTCGCGATGAGCGAGACCGATGGTCGTTGATCTGACCTGACAGCCTCATTCCCACACAGCCACCGTGCACTCCTTCTGTCAGTGATCGTCATAGGCAAGGGGACCACAGGAGACACACACACATACCACTCCTCTGCCCGTGGCGCTATCGAGATGAGTGTCATCCTTGGGAATGGTTCCCAGGTGTCCAAAGTTACATAAGTACGGCGTCCAGGGCATAAAGCGCTGGAAGCAGTTTGACAGTTGTCCAGGACGAATACAACTGTCCGGACATGGTTTGTGAGAGGCCAATCGTGGCCCGGTCCAGTGTCACCGAGGATACATGGCCGACGACCGGCGTGCCGCGGAGACATTTAGTGCAGCTTGGCCATTGACAGCCGAGAAGCCTGACCGCCGACCGCTAGTTGATGGTGACAAGTTTCAGGGACACTAAGGGATTTGCAAGGGATCTTGTGTTAGGAAACAACAGAGACTCGTGGCGTTCAGGTAGAAGATGGCCTGAACCTAAAGAAGGGAGCCATGAGAGGGAATTGGGTACTCTTTGATGGGTGTGAGGAAGAGGAAGATGAGGCGTAGGGAGACGGAGGATACGAAGACGAGGGGGGAAAGAGAGGAGGAAAGGCCCGTGCATGCTGGGTTTCTGGGTACAGCCGAGTAAGTCGTCCCTGAGTAGGTATTAGTTTGCTATTGGGGTCCTTGCTCTAGACCCTCGCTCCCTACCGAGCATTTGG